GCGTGATTTGAAAATGTGCTAAGTCGTGTTTGAAACTGAATGAAACGGAAACATTCCAAGACGTGGTGACGTACCTAGTCGCAGAAGCTTGGTTTGGACGTCGCTTGTTCAGCATGATTTCAAATGTTTAAGTTTATGATTGAAAATGATCCAAATGGAAACTTCCAAGTTCGTTTGGTATTTTGCAACCGGCCACGGTGAGGTACCACTCTGCCTTGCTTCCAGTTTGCCCGCCTCGCAGTATTGACGCGTCCAAAGTGACTACGGAATTCAAAGCAGCTGTGTTAATCATTGTTAATTATTATGCAAGCTGTGTTGGTAATTGTATTATTATACCTTAAATACTGACACCGTAATGCAGATAACAGCTGGTTGCTGTTTTCCTGCTAATACCATAAAATAGGCCTGTAATCGAGCATGGCTGAAATTATGTCAAAGTAAACCATTCTTCCGTTCTCAGATAACAAAAATGAATAAATTCGCATGGTAAGTGATTAGTGCAGTTTGTCCGTTGTTACCGTGGAGCTGATAGCCTCCCGGTGGGCTGAGACGGGCCCACCACAGCCCCACCGCGCTCCTGGCTCCGGCCGCCTCTCAGCACGAGCCGTGTGTGTCGTCGTCAGGACAAGGTCGAGCCGGGCGACATCGTGGACGAGCTGTACGGCGAGTGCTGTTACGGCATGCGACGCGGCAGGGTGTCGTCCCTGCTCAAGCTCTACCAGGGTATGCCCGTCTACATCAGCGTCGTCAAGGTGGGCCATTGTCAGCGCGTGACGGGCCAAGGCGGGCCGGCGACTCTGCGTCGTATTCGTCTGTCTGTCGCGTGTTGTTCTTCGTAATGTACGTGGTGGTTCTTGTTGCTCGTCTTTGTTTCGCTTTTCTGAGTTCGTTTCGCTTTGAAGCTGTCGCCGTCGTTTCGCTGTCGTTGCTGTTGTCATGCTATGTTTGTCTGTGTATCGTGACTAGCCTGTATGTCGTCGCTTCTGCCGTCAGCTCTCTGAACATCATTGTCGATAGTTCAGCGCATTGACCCCATCAAAAACTCGCTTTTGGTTTAAATGCGTACGATGGTGGATGATAAGTCTCATATTAATTTGGCGTGTTTATTCCCGCCAGAAGGTTTCCTAACGCTAGAAGAACTCTGGAAAGATTCGTCCTTTGTGTGGGTCTTTAACTTTTGGAACTTTCATCTTCTTGGCCTATTCTTTTTGCATTCGCATTTTGCCCATAGGGACGAGTGCCGGCAGTGGTGTGGGTATTATAGTTTCAGCGTCCACAGCGCTACGGATGAGGACAAGGCTGCCTTTTAGAGGCAAAGAGACCCAAGCCCTAGCAGCTTTATCGCTTAAGAGCATTTTTAGGTCTGGTCGCATTCAATAAATGATGTTTGGAAAATAGATTTGGGCATATTTCGATCACAGTTTTCCCCCTTTTTTGGTTTTGCTTTCCATCTCAAGATGCAGTTCTTCGATCTGCATAAAATTATGCAAATAATTCAGCCTAAGAAAAATAAGTCCTAGTCCCATTTGTCTCTGGGCGACGGAATGTGGAAAATTGCCATTATTTCATTCATTCGCAGGCACTGCCGTTTGGAATAAGAATGGTCTTGTTCATGCGAGGAAACATTTATGTTTATATCGGCTCAATCGGTGTTATAGTTGCGGTGCCTCCTGACCGTCTCCAATTTGTATTCTCACGTCAAATAACGAGACCGCGGCGTCTGTCGCCCCTGCAGTTGCGTCCCCAGCACACCCCTGTACGGTCGTCCCATATTGTATGCCATAGTCGTGGATGGACGCTATTTGTTGATGTCGTCTAGGTGAGTTTCCCTTCTGTGTCCGCTTCTGAGTGCTAACCGGATCGGGTCAGGACATTGCCTGTCAACGGGCTCATGTATTTGATGGCGGACCACAGTCCCATTAAGAGGCTGAGGCTTGGCGCAATCGGTAGGTGTGCCCAAGGGATGGATGGTGCGCCATTAAGTTAATGCGTCTGCCCGTCGGTGGCCGATTGCAAAGGGCGGTCACGTGGCACGGCGTAACACAACGCTAGCGTGCGGCAGTGTCCGGTATGATGTGTCGATGTGTCAGTCTTTGGGGCACCAGTGACGTCACCGGTACAGAACGTTCGAAACCAAATAAATGCGGAATGTTCGTTGTTTGCTTGCTCATAACACCGCGGCGTAGGCGCCGGTTAGGCTTTGCGGGCGTGTTTTGCGAATGCCGGGACATAAGAGCTTGTCAGCATGGAGTGATGGACGGATGTACATTCCCTCAGCGATCTGTGAGCATTTATTCCGATCCAACACTGCTGCGGCACTGGTCTGATCGTGGTTTGGTGTCGTGGTGGTAGCCACCGCAATATATTCGGCAGCGTTCGCGGTTGCAAATATGTATGCCTGAATTCGTATAGCATTGGTGTGCTGCACGTGTTGTAGACGTGTATGAATACCAATGTGTGTTGTGGTTTTGCTGACTGTGTGACCACCAATCTTCCGTTCCCAGTGTCATGCTGCGTGACCATTGGCCGTCGACGCGTCCCGAAACTCCCCCGTGCCATGGAGAACCTGTATCCTGTACTGGCCCCTGTCGCTCTGCCCCGACGTCTGGGAGAGACCTGTACCCAGTCTGGAGACCCCAGTACCATGGAGGACCTGTATCCTGTACTGGCCCCTGTCGCTCTGCCCCGACGTCTGGGAGAGACCCGTACCCAGTCTGGAGACCCCAGTACCATGGAGGACCTTTATTCCGTACTGGCCCCTGTCGCTCTGCCTCGACGTCTGGGAGAGACCTGTACCCAGTCTGGAGACCCCAGTACCATGGAGGACCTGCATCCTGTACTGGCCCCCGCCGCTCTGCCCTGACGTCTGGGAGAGACCTGTACCCAGTCTGGAGACCCCAGTACCATGGAGGACTGGTATCCCGCGCTGGTCCCTGCCGCTCAGCTCCGACATCTGGGAGAGACCTGTACCCAGTCTGGAGACCCCAGTACCATGGAGGACTGGTATCCCGCGCTGGTCCCTGCCGCTCAGCACCGACGTCTGGGAGAGACCTGTACCCAGTCTGGAGACCCCAGTACCATGGAGGACCTGTATCCTGTACTGGCCCCTGCCGCTTTGCCCCGACGTCTGGGAGAGACCTGTACCCAGTCTGGAGACCCCGTACCATGGGGGACCGGTATCCCGCCACTGTCGGGAGAACCATTGGAGACCCAGTACATGGGACCTGTATCTGTACTGGCCCCGCGTCGACGTCTGGGAGAGACCTGTACCCGTCTGGAGACCCAGTACCATGGAGGACGGTGTCCCCTGCTGGTCTCAGCTCCGACGTCTGGAGAGACCTGTACCCAGTCCGGAGACCGCCGTCTCGTCTGCCGCAGTGTCACTCGGTCACGGGCGACCTGTACCCGCCGGTGATCCCACTGCTGGAGCACCCTGCGCCTCGACCTGGCCCAGCTGACGGCACGTACCAGGCCAAGGCGCAGCAGCAGCGGCGCCAGGCCGAGAGCGCGCCGCGACGGCGGCGCCGGAGCGGGGCCGACGCGGCCGAGCCGGACCCCGGGCCCCCCCGCCGCCCCAGTACGTGTCCGGCACACCGGTGCACTACATGGGCGCCGGCTTCGTCGGCAATCGTGGCGACGTGACCGTCATCGAGATCGGCGTGGAGAACGTGCTGAGGAACCAGCCCGAGCCGCACAAGGTGACGCCCGCGCGCTGGGCGAGCGCGGTGGAGGCTGCGTTGGCGCGGGGCTAGCTGGGTTGGGCTCAGGGCGGCGTGGTCATCATGGCGCGCGCACCCTTCACGCCCTGAGATGGGGAGCTCGAGGGCATGGGTCGCACCGCTGCTGCGCAGGGTCTCTGGTGTCTCTGGTTTGTTTAGGTTAAGCACTCAGCTGTCTGCCGAGTCGCTCCGGAGGGGGGGGGGGGGAGGGGGTCGGCAGTGCGGAGCAAGATGGCGCGGGCTGAGAGCTGGCGATGGTGGCAGGCCCAGACGGGTACCTGAGGAATAAACTGTGATGAGCTCGAGCTTGGGGCGAGGCGATGGGTAGGTGGGTTTGCCTGTCGGTGTAGAGTCCAAGCCATCCTGCATTGATCCTCCCCATCTGACACCGGAGTTGCTGCGGAAAAGGCGGCCATGGACGTGGCAAGGGGGGGGGGGGGGTAATCGGTCTGTTCCCCCAGAGCTCTAGGGCAAGGGCACAAGAGTTGCGCAGGTTCGTGCAATGACGGCCATGAAAAAGAAAGCTGGCCACGCTTAAGAGCTTTATAAATGGTGAGGCTCCTCAACAGCCTCGCAAACTCATCGGTGCGCAGTCGTCGCCCCAACGGAAACCGAACAAATGTTCTATCTGCGTGCTACGTTAACAGGGCTCACCTCCGCTGTGTTTCGTGCGGTGCTCCCCGGGATGGCGGCGACCCTCTCCTCCTCACGGGCCACATCAGCGGCCATCTGTGCGCACCTGGAGTGACTAACGCCGTGTGTTGGACCCGTCGGCCGCACGCTGCATGCGCGTGACACCCGTCGGTGGCCGGCGGCGCCGCTGTCTGAGAGCGGCGCCAGCCACCGAGCGGCGCGCCCCGGCGCCTCGCTCCGCGCCGCTGCGCTCGCGCCGTGCGGAACGCGTCCCGGACGGAGCCGCGCCGCTGCCGCAGGTGCAGCTGGTGCTGGGCGAGACGGGCATCACGCTGGTGGACCGGGCGACCGGCGAGGTGGTGCGCAAACACTGCTACACCGAGATCGCTTCGTGCGGCCGCCGCAACGACCGGCTCCGGCACTTCGCCTACGTGGCCGGGTCAGTCGAGCGGGACGGGACGGGACGGGACGGGCAGGGCCACGCTGAAAGTCTTACCCTTTTGTGCGTTTATTCGTCGTGTTGTGCGTTTATTCGTCGTGCTCTTAACGAGTTTCGTGAAGAGCACTGTACCAGAACTCGGAGTTCTAGTCTGCTGGAATATGGCCCTTGAATCTGCCTGTAGGCTGCTACATTTTTTTATTGTTATTTATTGCTATGACCAATACTATTTTTGTCAGTGCTATTTCTTGTTTCATTAGTCAACTGACTACAATTCCTTTCTTTTTAACCACTTTTCTTATCTTACACGAATGAAACGTCTGGAAAGGTCGATGTACGAAACGTACAGCGTACTTTATACGTGAATCAAGTCCATGACAGCGTCCCAGCTCGGGCTGAAGCATGTGCGCGTCTCGCGGCTCGGCTCATTCAGGCGAGCAACGGGTCCTCGTCTCGGCAGGGAGACGTCCTGCAACCTGGCCCGCTTCTTCTACTGCCACGTGTTCGAGGCGGTGGACGAGGAGCAGGCCAGGACCGTGCTGCACGGCATCGGTAGGTCGGCCGGGTGTCAGGTGTGACGTCACGAGTGCGCCAGGAGTGACCGCGGAGTCAGCGGGGCGTGACGACGGGGCGGTCCAACCTTTGATTGGTGAGGGAAGGGGGGGGGGGGAGGGCTGGTGGTCTGAGGGGACCCCAGCTCCTCAGCCAGACAGGTGGTTTGTGTCGTTGGTTCGGGTCCGGCGCGGGGGACGCGCTCCGGGAGAAAACAGGAGTCTGAGGCTGAGCGGACGGTCTCTGACTGGACTGCAGCCGAGACCAGACCGAGGTCAGATGTCAGCAGGCAGCACGGGTGAAAGCGGCGAGAAACGCCGCGTTGTACAGGCGGGTTTCCTGTCTACGACCCACAGGACGATCTCGGCGTTGTCCCGGCTGTGCTATAGCCTTGTGTCCTGGCCATAGACATTGGGGACCGGGCAACGCCGCCTGTTTACAGCCAGCCTTGAGCAGAGTTGGCTGCTCGCTGGGTCAAGAGAGACCGGGTAATGCTAACCGTGCGGTGCTTGTCCTTCCTGCCGGGTGATGCGCAGGTGAAGCCAGAAAGCTTCAGCAGCTGAGTGCGTCGTAGAGCCCCGATGATACACGCCATCACAGCCACGCCGGCGTGAAACACCGGCCGTTGTGACCAGTAGCTACATAAAACGTTTGCATTATCTGTATTCATGCTTGATCACAGTCACCGAAACCGCAAATTATTCCAGAGTTTTCGAGGTCGTCGGCCGATGTGACCTCGGCTTAGGCCCAGTGCCTGCGAGTGATACACTGATGCGATTTTTGATTTTGTGCACGAGCGCTACATCAGCGGCGCCCTCTGCCTGCTGAACTGTCAGAAAAGACGGGCATTCGAAAGATGTTTAGATAAAATCCGTTTTCGTAATGCCAGGGACGTGTGGCTCTGTTCCCTTAGGTTTTTGTGTTATCTTCCTGATTGCGATGATCACCTTGCCTGCCCCATGTAAAAGGCGTTCAACAGACCTGTTATTTCTGGTGTATGACACGTGACCCGTGACGCTTGGCTTCTTGACCGTGGCCTTTTGCTTGTGATACTTGATCCATGATCCTGCCCCGGGCCCCCCCCCCCCACCCCCACCTCCTCTCCCATCTATGTCCCGTGATCTTTGATTCTAGATCTGTGGCTGCGCCTCGGCTTTGACCGGTGATCTCGTACCCATGGACTGTGGGCGCCGCCCGCGACCGCTGACCTGCTGCCCGTGACCTCTGACATGCAGCTGCCTCCCCACAGCCTTTGAACCGACGGCGATGTATGTCCGTTCGCTGTAGTGTCTGTTTCGAGCGCTGACCTTTGACCCTGCTTCAGCGGAGGGCTTCCGACGCACGCACTTCGCCGTGTAGCTGGCGGCGTTCGGCTCACGGCAGGGGCTGACGGCCGCACGACTCCTGCCCGGCGGCGGCCGCTCCCCTCCGGCTGTGATGGCCGCCGCCGCTCACCCCGCTCAAGGCAACAGCCACCCGGCCGGTCACGTCACGTGGCGTGACGTCAGTTCCTGACACTGAGCGACGCTCTACTTACGGGGACCGCGTAACGCGGCGGGAGAGAAGCGAACGAGCGACCGCGAGGCAGGCTCCGCCGACCAGCTCAGCTATTGGCAGCTCATTGGTCGTTGGTGGATCTGTGACCGTCCGATTGGTCAGCTGCCTTCTTACGACCGTCTGATTCGTCATGGGCTAGACTTGCACTGACCGTATTGCATGGACTGAATTATTGTTATTCGCGTCCAAATTATATTTTTGTTATGAGGAGAGGGCGGGGCTGCTATCTTTGTGATAAATTGATTGGCACAGCTGGCGCGCACTGGTCCGCGCGGTTACACCCGCTGAGGGAGTCGGTCACGAGTGGGTGACGTCACGGTGGGGGCGGCGATGATTGGCCAGACCTTCGGGTTAGGTCACGACCAGCGGCGGGGGATTGGTCCAGCGCCGGGCAGGACTGGAGGTTGATGCATTTGAAGCCGCATTCCACTCGGAAGGTCGTGGACGGGGGCCACGCGGGATTGCGCAGGGGTCTGACTCGGCAGCCACCTGGAGACGCTGAACGCGGCTGCCTGGCAGTGAAATATCAAACCGTATCTAGTCAGCAGATGGAAGGGTATGGCAGCTAGCAAGAACTGGATGCGGACATGTGGGATAGCGCCCTGTTATGCCACGGCATCACTTTATATACAAGATGATGAATACATATTAATGGAAATAAGCGAGCTCGCCTGAGACGAAATGTCTGAATTGATGGGTCCTGACATATGCCCAAGTAAGGGATATCTTATAATGGAAGTACGACCGAGTTACCTTGTGCACCTTCATGCGATTTAAATAGATGAACTGCTGGTCGTTTTTAGTCTAAACACGAGTTTTTATTAGTACCCTAGAGATGGTAATAGTTGAGTATTTAAGTGTTGCATGCTTTCTCAGCGTAGTCGTTTGTCTAGGTGAAGTAGTTTCAGCATATATGTGTGAAGGGCATACTTCAGCATAATAGCTTGCACGGATTGTGGTGGCGGGTTTGTCCGTGATTCGAATCAAATACCAAAGGGCGGCGCGCAGTGTGGCCCTGGAAGTGCTTTCTTCCAAACCCACCACCGTCACTAGTCAAACGGCACCATAATAGCTTGAGTGGCCAGCAAAGGATACCGGTGCTTCCTGTTGCTCGCCCAGCGGTCTTCAGAGAATCCAGCTTCTGCGTGTTAAATTTCGTTGTTTTTTGTTTGTTGTTTCCGTAGTGTCATTTCCATAGTGTTAAAAATTCGTTGTTCATTGAAGTCAAGCCGTGTATTTGACCCCACCTGCGCAGCGTCGGAGGTTTGTGTAGTGTTTTTCTCCAAGACGTTCAGTTTTGTGAATGGCCGCTTCCGTCCACTGTCTGCCGATCCAATTATCTGTTGTGCTGGGTCGATGTTTGTCGTTTCCAGAACTTGCCAATGACTGGTCCGTAGACCGCTTGTGCATCGCACAATCACGCACCTCATGTACCACCACGCAACATTGGGCAGTTCCTTTCGAAGTACGCAGCGTCGCCGTCTTCGAAGGGGCTTCTTGCACTTTGCGGCGAAGCCGGTTAGCGTTAGTTCAGCTTCGTGTATAATGGCCCATATCCATGGTGGCAGGCTGTAGATGTTGAGCAGAGGCATGGTAGCTGGCGACGGAAAGTGGGGAGGAAGTTTTGGTTGTCGGCGCGTGTGCAATGCAACAGCGAGGCATGTGGCGGGCGGCGGGCGTTGGCACAAATTTCCGTGTTGGATATGATGCGCATCGAGCCAACTTCGGCTTCCTCTCCCCCCCCCCCCCCCCCCTCCCGCCTCCCCGAACCATCCGGCATTGCTGCGGCGGCGCGCGCATGGTGGGTGCTTCCGGCGGCTGGCCGCGGAGCGTGCGAACGGAGCGAGGAATGCGCGATCCTTCTCCGCGCTCGCGAACGGTGTCTTCTGTACCCCGTTTGGCCTGCTGATTGTTTGAAACGGCCAGCAGTCGGCTGGCATAACGTGTGTAAGACTGGGCTGTCTGCTGTGATAACTGTTAGAGCCAGCAGGAGTAAAAATGACCTGTTCGGTGTTATTCGAGTGATGCATAGTTCCTTGCGGTGTTTTGTTTGTCAGAGTACCGCACTTTGTTACGCCTTTTCCGATGCACTTTACAGCGAACTGGTCGTATACACGCTCGTAGCTTGGTTCAAATTGATGACGTTGCATATTATCAAGCAACGTTGCATGTTTGGTTGTGAAATAAATTGCGTCGCTCTTGTTGTTGTGTATTAATGGAGGTTCGGAATGTTTTCTTCAGGAAGTGTTCCAATGCAGCGCAGAATGCAATCACGGCGCGGCGCCTCGTTCATGATGGCGTCGAGCGGCGGCGTGTGAGCAGAAGGGTGCAGCTGAAGCAATCGCCCGCGTGTGACGGGAATATGCCTTCGAGCGTGCTGCCACATGCTGCCATACTACGCGCCGATTTCGCCGCACCATGCCGGCAATCGGCTTCTTGCTGCCCTTTCCACGATCGCGACTGCCCGCGTGCTGAGGATTGGGAACAGCTGCGGTGTTGAAGTGGGAGGCGTTTATTGGGTCGTGAAGGGCTTTGCATCTCGTGGGGCGCTGTGGAAGTGGTGGCCTATCGTTTCCACAAACGACCAGCAGGATTTGAAGACGGTGATCTGCAGACCAATCGTAGTTTATCCAGGTCTTCGGAAGGTAAGTGTTGATGTCGTTCCGGGTGGCGCCCCGTTAGCGTTGCAACAATATGGTCAGGTAGATATTTTCGGCCATTTTTCGGTGGCTTGGAGGGGCATGGGGTGAAGCCAGGTACACGTGGTATGCTGAATATTTGGAATGGCGGTGGCATCGCTCCAATATTTTCAATGCGTGGATGACCAATGTTTCAGGGGAGTAGGTTAGTGTGAGTGATTTGAGGCAAACATGCTCTGAAAAGATATTGCAGGCATTGATAGTTAATTTAAAATAAATCATTATGTGGTTATAGGGAGACATAGGTACTTTGTGTTGTGAAAGGGCATGCTAGGTAAATTGTTTTTTGAGGCATCAAGTTTTGTAAATAAGAATAAAGTGGGTATGTCCACACTCTTACCGTCATACTCATACTCATAACATCATATTAACATACTCATGACATCATAAATAGAATATGACAGTGAATGCCTGAGCTATCCAGATATGCAACACACCTGACCTGTCAGTATCATTGCTATGCTATTCATTGCTGTGACATAGTTGACCTGCAACCTTTCCTAACCACGGTCACCCTGACCAACCTTGGCACCCAACTCCTGGCAACCCATATCCGATAAGTGCTTGTGCCATCAGTGTGGCAGATGGATATTTGATTGGCACCTGCTGTTGTTATCATAATTGTTGTATTTTGAAGGTAAGATGATGGTCTGTCCCTAAATTATTCTTGTGGTGTAATCATGCATGGCATCTGATGTAATAAAGTCACCAGCTAATGAACAACTTCACATTGCATTGTCAGGTACCAATATAGACATTGACCTGGCCAAAATTCAGTGCATCCAAGGTTGAGGTTCAGTGAACTTCTGTCATGTAGGCCAAGTAGACATCCTTGCAATGGACTCACCTGCCTTGCTCTGCCTCCCCTCTCCTGCTCTAAACAAAAAATGTAGATCATGCTTTGGAATGCACACAAGATGAAATAACATAAATTGTGTTTGAGATAAACCTATTCCTGAATATAGTTGAGTTTTTGTAATCCCAATTATGAATGCATTTCTCTTTAGCCTTTTGGAATATGATTATATACTACATATTCTTTAGGTCATATAGTGGCCAGTTTGCATTGGTACCAGGAAGCCTAGATTGGAGGATTATGTCATAACAATGTCCACAATAATCACTATGATATTGTGTCTGCTTTGTGTCTGATAATGATAACAGCAGGCATGTAAGAACTGAGTTATGGCAACACCAGGGCATTTTATAACATTCATGCTTGGAAGAAATGAAGTGCTTGATGTGAACAACATCAGTTAGCCATGACTGATCTACTGTATGGTAGATCACTGTGATATCCTGATATATGTAAGTTCACACTCAAAAGTAATATTCCACAACAGTTGGTGTGATTGCTTGCAGTTCCCAATCCGAAGCCTGGTTCTGTTTACAGATGGATTATGGCTATGGGTACAGCTCGTATGAGGGCCACACAGGTGACCCACGGCTTGACCTGGAGTATGAGCGCCAGTTCAGCCAGTACAAGGTCAGTTTGCACCATGTTTGAATGTATTGCAGCTGTAGCTAGTACAGATGTATAGTGTTTGATGTGTTGAGGAAATGTTTGGTGTTTTGCACCTCTTTTATTTGCAAGACAGTTTCTGGTATGTGAAGACGTACCCTGAGGACAGCAAGCTTGTGTGTTTACAGTTGATTAGTGTTGGCTTTAGCTGGCGGGAAGTTGTCTTGGAAGACATGATGGTCTTCATTTGTCTGGGCCATGTACATGCCACCACCAGAATATTCCACTGATTTTTCCCACACAGTTTGAGTTGATCTTTGTTGAAGTAGAGTTGGGTTTGAATCCTGTCATGCAGATTTATTAGTAAAATTTCGGTGTTGCGGCAGTTCAGAAGTAAAATTCCAGTGTTGGCTAATCAGTGTTTCATAATTCAGTCAGTTGGGTATGTGGAATGTAGGCATAACTCTGATCCCAGAATCAGAGCTCCTCAGCAGAGTGGGCATGTCGCAACCAGGTCTCGTACCCGGGCCCTTCGCGTACGGGAAGGCGCTGACCACACGGCCATCACGCCCTCACCGTTACCGTCGTGCAGCGCTGACGCATCCCATGACTGGCACGTGGCACATGACACAACTGGCACGTGCAGGTCCCGGACCCGGTGCGGAAGTTTGTCGTTCATCTACGAAACATGATCCGCGAGAACAACGTGGACGACGTGCAGCAACTGTACGAGCACGAGTGAGTATTGAGCTGAGACCGGCTGCTGCGCGCGGTAGCCTGGGCCCGGCCCAGGCGTCGCAGCTTCAAGTAGCACGTAATATACTGCTGCGTTTCACCTTAGTTGCGTGTTCAGCGCAGAGGGTTACAGTGAGTCTCACGCGAAGTCGTTTTGGGCTGTTACCAGATTGTATGACATCGTTCGTAAGAAGCTGTTTGTTTTTTCGTAGGCCGCCGCTGGGTTGTCTCTGTTCTCAGAACTAAACGCCGTGTTTTCCATTAGCTGTTGCTTGGCCTGTTATGACCATCGGCAGGAAAAAGCTTTGTTGTTGATGTGCGCTCGGCTGTGCGCAGGTTTCCGAGGATCACACAGGAGTTCTTCGAGGGTCAGCCGTGGCCGGAGGCGGCCGACATCGCGCCCTACATTGGCGACGACCCCAGCAACCTGGTGAGCGGCGCTGCCGGTGGCACCGCAGCCCGCCGCAGCGCCAGCAGATGCCGCCGCTCTCTGGCAGCTCGCAGCAGGGTGTGGAGTAGGAACACAGCCCAAAGGCCAGCTGGTGTCCTGTCAGCTGCTCATGGCTGTGTGTGTTTGTATATATTTTGTCAGAGCTTTGACTGAGTCCACTATGCATCTTGTGGTTTCCTGATGTATATATATATATATATATATATATATATATATATATATATATATATATATATATATATATATAAGTATTCATTCATTCTTTCTTTATTCATTCATGCATGCATGTATGCACACATTTCCTTATTTACTACATGCTGGACACTGGTGAGCCATACCAGGATAAGCTTGCAGCATTACATGGATACTTAACCTGGACATTAACTAATCCTTACCATTTAAAAGGCATGGAAGTGTGCATGGTACTGAGCATTAACTACACTTCTGTCCTGTGCTCTCTGTAGTGTACAGATTCCATCTCAACATTAAATGGGCAATATGGCTAGGGCAGTCAGGGAGCTCTAAAGCTCAAATTATCATCATCATCATCATCACCATCACAATCATCTCAACATTGTTAGTGGTGCTGTTGTTTGATTGGGAGCTTGAGAGCATATGCAGCCTGCCTGTACACAGTCGGATCATGTTGTCAGATGTTCATGATCCTGTACAAGGAGCTGTACTTTCGGCATCTGTACGCGCTGCCAGCCTCCAACCTGAAGATCGAGAACCGCTTTCACTCGTACTTCAACTACTGCAGCCTCTTCAACATGATTCTGTGTGAGTTTGGGACAAACGTGTCACTTGGCTGCACTCTGCTGACTGCTGTGCGTCATCATTGCTTAAGAGGGCGTGGTGCCAGCGGAAAAAAAACAGCGACGGCATTAAGGGAGCTGACGGACGTATCGGCGTGAGGGAAGCTGATGGACTTGTCAGCGTGAAGAGAGTCGTTCATATGTATCGTTGTTGTATATGCATATCGTGTTAAATGTGGCTTAATGTTGTTTTTGAGTTAGTCTAGTGGTGAGCTGATGATCATATATGAGTGTAGGGATGCTCTGACTGTCGTGGTCATTGTGTGCTCATGGCAGTCATAAGCGTATTTTTTATGGAGCTGCCGAAGCTTTTGCTCCGCGTGATGGTAGAGCATTTTGCAGGGATTGACTACATAAACACATGTGTGAGCATTCTTTCGCAAGCTTTCATGCTTCCGATTGGAGGTCAGGTACCAGAGCTGTACAGTTCAACAGCTCGCTCGTCTGCCTCAGCCGTTCCGTTTAACAATTTCGCCAGTTCAATTCGAAGCGAAATCCATTGGGTCAGACAGCGTACCGTTATTGCACCGTTAACCGCTCTGTTAATCGTTAACTGGCCCGTTAACCGCTCTGTGACGCGTTGCAGTGACGGAGACGCCAATTAACCTGGAGTTGCCGAACCAGTGGCTGTGGGATATCATCGACGAGTTCATCTACCAGGTACGGCCAACCGATGTCTTTGCGTTTCGTGCAAGTTAGGCGGTGGCTAGATTCTGAGGAAGGGATCTGTGCACTATGGAGAGATGAGTTGTTCGCCAGCAATTTTGTTTTCAGCACGTTACGGTGTGGAGTATTTTGCAATTTCTCGCGCGTCTGGGAAAAATGGGGCATTTTGCGCATATGATGATAGGCATTGTCGCATTAAAGATGTTCCGATATGTTGGGAGCACGAAATAATTATACACCATATGATATTAAAGATGCACCAAATAATTATGAGAGCACCAAATCAAAACCTTTGAGAGCTATTTTGAGCATTGGGATTCCGGATAATGGCGTTGTTATTTTGCGCATCGCCGAAGGAGGCTATATCGATGTCGGCTCACTTCAGACCCGCTCCTGAAATGTCGGTTGCGGCTGTTAAAGTGAGTTTTGTCACATTCGTCACGTGTCACAACCACTTCTGCTGAACATTCCGGAGAATTTAAAACCGGGTGATGGTTCGGAATATTTCTGCGTAATACCAGCTCGACGCGTTTCGACAAAACTATACCAATATGCGCGCACTACTTTCCACTTGAGCGTCCTCCACCGGCGGCCTCGGTGCACGGAGAAGCCAGCGCTGGCCCGCCGCCCGACCCGTGCTCTCGTGTACGGCGCTGGCCTGGCGCGCGGGACACTGCAGCAGTGCGCCTGCCGCTCCTCCCCTCCCCTCCCCCTTCGACCGGTTCACAACACCCTCCGGCGTGCCACAGTTCCAGGCGTTCACGCAGTACCGCAGCAAGCTGGCCAAGAAGTCGCCGGACGAGTTGGAGCAGCTGCGAGAGAACGCCACCGTCTGGAATGTGCTCAGCGTCCTGAACGTGCTGCACTCGCTGGTGGAGAAGAGCAACATCAACCAGCAGCTGGAGGTGTGTCGGGGCGACGCCCCAGACCGTCAGTGCGTTCTGGCGTGACCGGCCGGTGACGGCAACACGCCAGCTGTCGGCGATCGGTGGTGCCCTCGCCGTTCCTCCCACTTGTCGCGCACGAGCAAGCCGCGCGTGCCCGTGGTCTCCCCGCCACCCAACGTTTGTGCACAGCAGCGGTGCTAAGCCAGCTGTAGGTGCTCACAAATGGCTGGCCGTGGTAACCCGGCCTCTGGCGATACAAACGTCTATGACCTCGGGAACCCGGTCTCAGGTGGCAAGCAGTCGTCCATAACCACCGGTTACCAAACAGTCGTCCATAACCCCGGTTTGCCGGCACTCAGGTGTACACGAGCGGCGGCAATCCAGACTCGGCGGCCGGCGAGTTCGGCCGCCACCCACTGTACAAGATGCTGGGCTACTTCAGCCTGATTGGCCTGCTGCGACTGCACTCGCTCCTCGGAGACTACTATCAGGCCATCAAGGTGCTCGAGAACATCGAGCTCAACAAAAAGGTACGACCGTGCGCAGTCGCGTCTTTGGCGTGGCAAACCACTTGGAAAGGAGTGGTCCTGATTGCTGTCAGTTGGTTTTGAAGTGGTTCAAACAACGATGCATGTGGAAATCAGAATTGAAATCAAGTTATGGTCGAGGAATGGAGGCGTGCTGGTGGAATGTGTGGTGTCCTTTTGTCGCCGTCTGTGGTCCGCTCTGGAGCATGCTTGTAAAGTTCAGTGGTCAACATGGACAGCAAAGGCGCTCTTTACACCAGGGGGCATAAGCTACCAGTGCGGCACGTCATTTGACGGAAACAGTAAAAAAGTGGCTCAGTACGTATATATATATATATATATATATTTAGGCATTTTCTTTTGGGCATACAAACCAGAGTTAACCTAACCTTTTGCCGGGGCGGTTCTGTAACATCGCTCACTAGTGGACAGGGGATTGCGGGAGATGGTATTAGTTTCTTGTGCATGTGCAGGTGGGAACGGCGTTGAGTGTGGCAGAGTTAACGAATAATAAATTGTGCATAATTGAAGGGCATCAGGTAAAAGGTTTGATTCGGCACAGAGCGCCAGACGTGTCACAGCCACTAACAGATCACCCATGCCATATCTATGTGAGCTTCTGTGAAGAATCGTTCAACTATGGAGCTGTGAAGAATCGTCCAACTAAGTCGCCACCGTCATCACCATCACCGTCTTCGGCAGGCGCTGTACTCGCGCGTGCCGGCCTGCCAGATCACCACCTACTACTACGTCGGCTTCGCCTACCTGATGATGCGGCGCTACGCGGACGCCATCCGCACCTTCTCCAACATCCTGCTGTACATCCAGCGTACCAAGCAGCAGTTCCAGGGGCGCGGCTACCAGTCGGACCACGTGAGTGGGGTGATGGCCGGGCGTCGTGTAGTCGGCCGACGTCAGTGGCTCGCCTCGGCTCTGTGACGTCAGTCGGCTGACGTCATTGGCTCGCCTCCCGGCTCTGTGACGGCCATGTGTCACTGATAGCTTGTTTGGGCCCGCTTGTAGTGGCGTCTCATTGGTTTGTTTCGTCCTTGTTTCTGTTCTGATCCACAGTGGTTTTCTCGTCATTGTGAGGGATGCTGCAGACCGAATGACTTCAGCTAAGTTAATCGTGAAAAGGCCTTGACTGGGCCGGCTGTCGCTTTTTCTGGAATTGAATATCATTGCAATCATTCGTTGCAGCTTCGTATTATTTTTCGGCGACAGGAAGCGCAATTGTATTAAAGCTTTGCTGTGTAAATTGTTGAGATCTGCTTACAAATTGCTTGATTAGGTAGAATTTTACCCTGCCTCCACCTCCCTGTTCTCCCTCTCCGCCACGCCCCCCCCCCCCCCCTCCCCCCTCCCCGTGACGCCGGCGCCGCTCCCGCCGCAGATCAACAAGCAGACGGACCAGATGTACACGCTGCTGGCCGTCTGCCTGGTGCTTCATCCGCAGTCGATCGACGAGTCGGTCCAGTCGCAGCTCAACGACAAGTACCACGAGAAGATGCTCAAGATGTCCCGCGGAGTCAGGGAGGTGGGTGGGTTGCCATGGTTACCTGGCCGCGACAGAGCGGTGCCCGGCATCCCAGCCTTTCTTGCAGGCTTCGGCGAGCTTTGGTGCTTCTGTGGGGCAGTTGTATTATGTTAAACATGATCATGATTTGTTCACTGCTATAATTATGTTTGCCTGCAACTGGAAATGGGTGCAGGAGCTTAGTGACACAACAAATTATCAGCTGATCATCATTGGCATTCTGCTGTACTATTACTAAAGGGCTCGGGCACTCTGGGTCATTGCCCATCCCCCAACTGGCTACCCCTCTTGTTCAGAACCGTGGCTGCTCGCAGGTGTGGTTTGGGAGGTGTTGGTCGATTTCCAACCGACACAGTTCGTGAGTGGTGCGGGTGGTTTAGATGCCAGATGCCAACCAACGTACGGGTTCACGTCGATTTCACTTCATATGTAATCATTAGTCATCTAAGCCCCGTGTTTTGTCAACCGATCCCTAAAACTGCCACCTGTCACCAGTGTTAATATTCGCGGTAACCGTACTCTTCAAGAAGACGCGCAAGCCACGCCCCCTCTCGCTCCATTTGAACGAAATAAGTTGAAAATTAATGCCCGATGGCTGATTAGAAATGAAAACTTGTTTTTATAGACCCCGTGATAAAACAGCAGTACCTCCAAATGTAAAAAACAATACGCCAATGCCTTTTTGCCGGCCCCGGTTGCAGCTGAAGGGTAGCCTGGACGAGCCATAGCAGCGATGCCGCTCAGATGCCCGCACGTGTCACGTCAGCCAGTATGAACGCAAACTTCGGATCAGCGTCGCGGCGGCGAGTCGCGACACGCGAGAGAACTTAGCAGTGTGCTTGGTGATGGAGCTCCTGGTGGTGACACTAGAAGTGAGGTGGTGGTGGTGGTGGTGGTGAGGTGACAGCTTCTGACGTCCGCGGACGGCTCCCTCCGTGCGGGGCGGTGACGCGCTCCCGTGCGGCGCGCCCGCTGACCAGACCGCCGGCGCCGGCAGGAGTTCGAGACCAGCTTCACGTTCGCGTCGCCCAAGTTCCTGTCGCCGGTGCCGCCGCCGCTGGACGGCCTGGCTGGCAGCCTGCGCGAGCCGCAGAAGCAGCAGCTGACCGTCTTCATGGACGAGGTGATGATGATGGCCGCCGGCGAGGGAGACGACCGGCCTGGGAGAGGGGACGGGGGGGACGACCGGCCTGGGAGAGGGGACGGGGAGACGACCGGCCTGGGAGAGGGGACAGGGGGACGGCCGGCCTGGGAGAGGGACGGGGAGACGACCGGCCTGGGAGATGGGACGGGGGGGGATGACCGGCCTGGGAGAGGGGACAGGGGGGACGACCGGCCTGGGAGAGGGACGGGGAGACGACCGGCCTGGGAGATGGGACGGGGGGGGGGGGGATGACCGGCCTGGGAGAGGGGACGGGGAGACGACCGGCCTGGGAGAGGGGACGGGGGATGACCGGCCTGGGAGAAGGGACGGGGAGACGACCGGCCTGGGAGAAGGGACGGGGGACGACCGGCCTGGGAGAGGGGACGGGGAGACGACCGGCCTGCTCAGAGACAAACTGACGTCCCGTCAAAGGCAGTGAGATATGCAGCCGGTCGGTGTGGTAAGTCATGATACTGAGCCAACAGAACCGGTCAGTCATTATACTTAGCCAGTTCTGTTGACGCCGTCTGCTCCACCAGGTGGACCAGCAGGTGTTTCTGGATGCGGTGGCGCGGCACAGCTCCTACGAAGCCGCCATGAAATGTGCCTCCGAAGCTAAGGGCCAGACCGTCTACCTGGACGTCAGCATACCCATCATGCGCAGGTGGGTGAGGCTGGCAAGGATTTGGGCGGTGGAGGCGTTGACGATGATGACGGGGTTGATGCTCGTGGTGGTGAGTATGATGGTAATAATGATGGTCATGACGGCGATGATGGTAGTGGTGATATCGATGACGATGGGGGTGGTGATGGTAATGATGATGATGGCGATCTTGAAGACGATACCGGTGGCGATGGTGATGCCGGTGGTGATGGTGATGGTAGTGGTGATGTTGATGCCGATGCTGGTGGTGGTGATGACGCGAGGTGCGCGCGCGCTAGCTGCCGGAGCCGGGCTTCACTGCGTGTGGCGACCCGGCGCAGTACTCACGCCCGCCTGGCGACGCTACGCCCGCCGTCGTGTCCTCACACCGCCTCTGGTTGGGCTGTGGCACGCCCGGGCGGGGTACATATGGGCCGCGAGGCTGCTGTCGGCACCGGCGAGTCGCCTCTGGGTCCGGGTGGCCGGTGTGGGAGCTGGAAGGCTGGCCGCTGCGGTGTGGGATGGACCGCGTGTTGCCGTCTCTCGGATGTCGCCAGCCGCACCGCTGATGCTGCTGGCGCCGTTTGTTTTCGCAGCTACCTGCGCCTGTACACCACCATGCCGGTGGAGAAGATGTCCGCCTTCCTGGGGCTGGGCCAGGACGTGTTCCGTAGCTACCTGATGTGCTTCAAGCACAAGATGAAGAACGTGGTGTGGTCGCGCGGCACGTCCGGACTGGACGGCGAGTTCCAGTCCGACTCGGAGGTGAGGCGCTGGCCGTCAACGGTAGCCGAGCGGTGACACTTGTTGGCTCGATCGGGTGGCGGCGGCTCGAATCCCGCCGCGGAAAGCCCCACAAATCGTGGTTCCGTTCAGGATAGTGGTGCTATTGGCTCCTGGAATTGCATTGTATATTATATATATATATATATATATATATATATATATATATATATGTACATCTTGTGATATTTATATACACCTATATATATATATATATATTATGTACATCTTTGTGTATATGATATACCCTATAATATATATATATAATATATATATATATATATATATATATATATATATATGTACATCTTTGTGTGTATGTATATACACCTATATATATATATATATATATATATATATATATATATGTATGTATGTATGTATGTATGTATGTATAAATGAAGGATGGATGGGTACCAAAAAGCATGTGAACGTCACGAATGAACTGGGACAGTACGGCACCCGCGCCGATATGAAAACAAGACTCGGGATGTGTGAACGTCCAGGTCATCGATGTTATGGACAGTTTGCGATATCAATTATTCGCGGAGAGTTGGCCATTAGAAGTATCGATGCCAATAATGTACAGGGAGTATTGCTAGGGGATTTATCGACAGTCAGCCTTCCGTGGCCGTGTCTCTCCCATACGGCACTCTCCGACAGATCGACTTCTACATCGACGGCGACATGATCCACATCGCCGACACCAAGGTGGCGCAGCGGTACGGCGACTTCTTCATCCGGCAGATCCACAAGCTCGAGGAGCTCAACCACAGCCTGCGCGCCATCAAGGTTTAGTGGGCGCCGCCGCCGCCAGGTGGCAGGCCGGTCGACGGCAACGCGACGGACGGAGAGGTGATACGGCTGGCGGGGCGGGATGCGGCGAGCCTGTGTCCGCCCGTGGTCGCACCGGTCTCCAGCCCGGTCTGGGTCTTCTGATGCGCGCGTTGGTGTCTGAACCAATACACAACACAGGATTAGGGCTACGAGTTTGTTTTTGTGGTTGGCACTGCGTATGGATCGTGACAAGACCTGCGTCCTGGACGTTTTTTTCTGCCACTGACAACGCCGTCCTGTGACGTGCGGATGTTCCGAGGCGTTGCGTGGGTTTCAGGTGCTGATTTACCCTGAATACTACAAGCTCTTACTGGGTTCCATCCTTTCCATCAAATGGCAACAAACACGCTGACACCACAAATAAACCGGTCCTCCCAGCCATAAGACGCTGGGAGTCCAGCCCCTACATATACGCTATATACGGGGAGCATGCACATTCAAATATCCTGTCAAGAATGGATAATTCGAGGTCACGCCCGGCTCCCCCTGCCTATGTCAGCACTCCTCCCTGCCTACAGCGCGTTGCTCAGCAAGTCAGCGTTCCTCGCGTCTAGTCACCCGGTTTGCCGTCCTGGCCTACGCGCGCAGGCTATGCGGTGCGCGCGCATTATCCGAGCGCGTAGCACCCCAGCCGGCACTCTGGTCGTATGGTCGTGCGCGGTGCCAGTCAGACACACGTGACGCAGCGAGTCACATTGTATCCTACGCGGCGTTGCGTAGAATCCTCTCCGGCCGTGTTCTCAGCGCGCCTTGTCGTTTGTTACAATCTCCGAACCGGTAATAACTGCGCATGCAAACACAAAAGACGTCTGTTTGCGGGTACTATGAGTGCTCCGAATGATGTAAACTTGCTCTCGGCAAGGTTATGCTCTCGGCAACTGAGCAGCCACGTGGAATCGTCAAAGTCGCTGCGAACCCCGAACGGCGCAGAGCCTACTGGGTATGACGTCATTAGTGACGTCAACAGAATAGTCTGCGTCGTCCGGGTCACTGCGAATATACCCCAAGCCTGTCTCCGGACGTGGCCCTGCGTCTTTGACTGCGTCCTTTTCAAACCATCCCCAAGACCACGACGATGAAGTTGCCTGGCGGTTCTGGTGAGCTCACCCGCCCCGCCGACCTGTTGAGCACTCTCCAAACAAAGCCGCCCCGCGCTGCACCGTATATTCTCCCGGCCCGAACCGGTCGGGCACGCACTCAACAGACCGACACTACACTCCAACCGGGCGGCGTCCGGCAGGCTACCAGTGGTACTTGTGGAGACGGTGAGCCTTGATCTTGGTGTAGTTCAGCACGTAGAAGAGCGACGACGTGGCGACGATCACCTGCAGGAACGGCGCCAGGCCCGACCGCTTCGGGTGCACGTACTTGTGCAGCCAGCGCCAGTAGCCTGCGGCGGAGAGCATGGGTCAGCGGAGCTGCCCGACGGCGCGCGCCGCGGGACGCCGTTCAGCACGCTGCAGGCCTTGCCGAAACGGTGGTCACGGCGCTCCGGAAGCGCAGCGGCTGTGGCGCTGTGCACCGTTATGAGTGGATGCAACGTCTTGAAAAACAGCGTCCATTGTAAAAAAACAAACGAAAATCGGCTGCCTTACACGCCATTGAGGCCTGCCCCCAATGACGCAGTTCTGAGCGGTGTGAACATGAACCGTCTTCAAATTGGTCCGGGGAACATTTCCACGGGACCGAGGATGTATGACAGACGCCATCAGTCGTGGACCACCGGCGTTCCGCCGCGTGACCTGGCCTTGACCTGCCCACTGACCTCGGCTGATGGCGGCGGTCATGGCCTGGGGCGACTTCTGACGGCGGCCCAGCCAGCCTCCGAGCTCTCCCAACTTCACCTGGCTCAGTGGCGTGTCGGCTGAAACACGGACGAGCCATTGTCACAGATCAAAACACGATCAGAACAGGGTGTTGCTAGGACATCATGCAGGCTTGTTTAGGATACAGCAGCAATTTCATCCTCCAAATGTGTTACATAGGCAGCTAGATTTGGATCACAGGCTGTACAAATAAATATGATGTACTATGCATGATTATCATGAATGTGAACAGCAACCAGATTAGCATCCTGTGTGGTGACAAGAGGTATTTTTGACACTTGATATTTTGCAGACAAGATTTCAGAGAAAATCTGCTCACTTGACATGATCAGTACACTCAAAATCTCCTGCAGACATGCAATAAAATGGATGTGAAGAGTGAAACAAGTACACCAGCGACCTCGGTAACCACAGGACACATCCTTCCACCCAGTGTTTAAAAATATCCTGCAGACATGCAATAGAATGGATGTGAAGGGGAAAAAGTACACCACTGACCTCAGTAAATGACAGAGCACATTCTTCTACCCAGTGCTTCAAAATCTGACAGCTCAGTGGCAGAAATGTCAACTTTTCCCCATGCCCTTGCACCCCTAGCTGAAAGCTCACTGCCTGCTACTCCTCTTGCCAAAAAAAACCCAATAATTACCGAACCAGGTGGCAATCCTCCCTGAATATCGATCGCTGGGGCTTGGCAGATTAGCCCAACAACTCGGATGTCCCAGTTTGTGACCGAAGGATAAAGGATAAGTGGGGAACAGATTGTGTGAAATAAGGGTGCAGAACGGCCAGACTTCCCATTGCATGTAATTATACTTACATCCTGCATATACCTGTGGATAATTTTGAAATGCTGCTTCTAGCTCTCATTACATGAGGGCACTGAAACTTAAACTGCCTAGAATTGGCTTGTAAAACACCTAGTCCAACAATCAAGATGATTTGGGTTCCAGGATGCACCAGCTGCTTGGTCACATTTGAGCACTTGCAAGCACTTTAGAGTCACATTTGTCACATTTGAGCACTTCACACAAGCACTTGTCCACACATGCATGATATCACATGTGGAATGAGCTGCGTTAAGCTTCTCACTAGCTTTCCGTTGTTTTGGCGCAATGTGTATATCCCATACAAAAAAGACTGGAAAACCCATTTTAAGACAAACATGCCTTAACCCATGCCATGCCCATGCAAACATTCCTTACACAAACTTATGTGTTTGTGTAAACCCCTTGTGAGGCAAGATGCATTTCATGGCCTTCATGTCTTGAAGAGCATCAAGACTCGGGAGCTCTCTATGTTTATTATGCAGTTCCTCTTAGGTTTGAAATGAGACTAAGAACCCGGAGCACTGTAATAATCAGATCTGACAGCCTCTTGTCTCTTTCATTGTTACATTCCTTCACACCTGCTGTGCATTTCACCTCACGGCGCTATAAAAGTGAGAAAATGGTAAAACCAAATGGCTCGACAAACATTGCGCGGTGTCAAGGCACTTTTTCTATCAAAGCATGCAATCATGCAGCAGCAGCAATGCACTCACGTTTTCCATACCACCGTGCCGGATCGTACGGCCCGTGGACTTTGGGGTTAAATTCGACTGGATAATCCCCAAACCCCATTTTGTGTCCCGAGCCGCCCCAGTCACTGCAGACCCACGCCGAAAACGCCACGCGGAAGCGAGACAGGCGAAAAGGTCAGCTGTCTCAATAGTGATGGGTAGCAGGCTGCTCGTTTTGCTTTCAAATCGTGGATGCTGGCGACGGTGCGGTCGGCTCGGCTTGTCATCCGCGGGCCCCAGGTGTCGTGCCCTTATTAAGGTGATGGAGTGTTGCCATTTCTATAGTGTACATTGCACGTATTGCGCGTAACTATACCAGCCATGTGCTACCTGCGGTGCGGTGTCAATTTGTATCCTTTTGGGTGGGCCGCACTGCCCTCTCTCCCCAATGGTGACTTGGGCCCGAGGGGCAGATTTTGGATCCGCCCTTCAAGTTACCGCTACAGGTACAAGTTACCATGCTTCCCTACAGACACTAACACCTTTCCGGGGGATTGCTAGAATATCACACCAATTTATCCCTATTATTTAGGAAGTTGTGCGGCCGCTGTCGCATCTACACTATACCGCTCCGCTTGCGACGCAAGAAGAGGGCGGGGCTCGTTATCTGGAAGCATAGGCGGATCCTGGGGGGGGGGGGGGGGGGGTGGGGGGGGCACGGGGTCATTACCCCCCCCCTCCAAAAAAACTCTGGGAGTATGTTAGGCACATTCCCAGAACTTTATAAAAGTTTCGTCTACTTACCGTCTGTTTTAACTATAACTGTTTTGTTCTAACTTCTCTTTAGGATTCAAAAGCATTTCGGTGCCTTTTTCGGTTTTGAATGGTGTCCCTACTAGGTACTCACGAAAGGCATCATGCACTGGACCTCGAATCCCACACCAGCCAGCTGGCTATGAACGGTTGCCCCCCCCCCCCCCCCCCAAAAAAAAACACAAAAAAGCTTCAGGCTAGATCCGCTTTTGTCTGGAACCACAGACGACGGGCACGTTTTGTAAGGACATTTGGTTCATGGGGGCAGGTGACTGCCAAGCTTGGTGTGCCAGTCGGGGCGCCGCCGCCAGGTGGCAACAGCAGCCGCGGCCGTTGCACCGCCAGGTGGCGGTCAGGGCTGTGTCTCGGCTATCAGGACGCTCCGGGCCGTGGCTCCTCTGGCGAAGGTCCTCGGATGTTGGGTTCGAGAAGGATACTGTCTTTGGGGTTGGGAATGACAGCCTTCTTTTGTTTGTTACTTGGGGCTTAATATGCACGTGCCGTCCGGGTTCATCAGTTAATCACATTTGAGGTAAAATACGTGACAACGCAGTGCATCTTTCCTTCTTTAGTGCGCTGGAGCGGAGGTTGATCTACTGTTAACGGCTTACCAGCCAACCAAGACTGCATGTCCAAACCATGTGGCAAACGGCGCACAGCCTAGCTGAGTCTGAGGGTTCCCGTCCTGTCGGTGCATGGTGTGGTCGGGCTCGGGAGCCTGCGGTTTGCAGGTCTACAGGTTTGCTCAAACTGTCCGCATTTCGCCATTAGGCACGCGGACATCATGCATCAATGGCTTGTTAAGTGTCCCCTGGTACCTGTTTATCACACTGCGACCCACGGCGGAGCCCCCGCCCCAGTAAGCACACCTGAACAGGTGGCACGACACGTTGCACGTGCAGCCTTCAGCACATGACGTGGCGACCAGGCCAGACCAAGGCGGCGCCACGGTGACGACCTCAGCCAAAGCCCGCTCTATCGCACGGATCCGACGCCTGGTGCGCGGCGTGCCGCCCCCCCCCCCCCCCCCGCAGTGCGGCAGCTCTGGCCCAGCGGCCTCCTCGTCACGCGGCAGTCAACCGCGCGAGAGAACTGTTGAGTTATTGATCTCGAGCGCAAGAATGCGGCCACGCGCGAGCGACATCGGCGAGAACGGGCTAGCGCTTCATCGCAGCGAGACTAAGCACGCACCGGCGAAACCAAGTCTGCCCGCCAGCGCACATCGCGCCAAGTCTTCTTACCGCCGCTGATGCCACCCCAGTGGCTAAGCTGCTCCCCCAACAGAAAATATGACATCTCAACATGCTCGCCAGACTACCCAGTAAGGTACATAAGTGATTTATTTCGCACAGTACACAAAAAAGCATCGGACAACTTCAAGGTACAACTGAAATCAGGTAAAGCATGGAATCGCTACACATATAATTCCGTATAGCAGGTAACACCATTTATCCGTCCCGACTAAGCATAGCAGCCAATCACAACGCAACGCCTTGCTATCACACGAATCATTGCCTCAATGAAAGCGAATAGAATCGAGCTCCCACAGCTGCGAGCCAAACTGTCGAAAGCCGTACGGGGTGGCGCCTGCGCTTAGTCGACCTCCTCAATGGTCGGGCCGCCGCCCGAGCCGCCAGCCCCACCGGCGCCCGGGGCGGCACCCTTGGGCGCGCCGCCAGGCGGAGCGCCGTCGCCCTGGTACAGCTTGCTGATGACGGGGTTGCAAATCTGCTCCAGCTCCTTCTGCTTGTGCTCAAATTCATCCTTCTCCGCCAGCTGGTTGGCGTCCAGCCACTTGATGGTGTCGTTGCACTTGTCGACGATCGCCGTCTTGTCGGCGTCCGAAATCTTGTCTTTGACCTTGTCATCCTCGACCGTCGACTTCATGTTGAAGCAGTACGACTCAAGCGCGTTCTTGGCGGCGATCTTCTCGCGCTGTGCATCGTCCTCCTGCTTGAAGGACTCAGCCTCGTTCACCATGCGCTCAATCTCCTCCTTGGTGAGGCGGCCCTTGTCGTTGGTGATTGTGATGTTGCTGGCCTTGCCGGTTGACTTGTCGGCGGCCGAGACGTTCATGATGCCGTTGGCGTCGATGTCGAAGGTGACCTCGATCTGGGGCACGCCGCGCGGCGCCGGCGGGATGCCGGTCAGCTCGAACTTGCCGAGCAGATTGTTGTCCTTGGTCATGGCGCGCTCGCCCTCGTACACCTGGATCAGCACGCCTGGCTGGTTGTCCGAGTAGGTGGTGAACGTCTGCGTCTGCTTAGTCGGGATCGTTGTGTTGCGCTTGATGAGCGCGGTCATCACGCCGCCGGCCGTCTCAATTCCAAGCGACAGGGGCGTCACGTCGAGCAGCAGCAGGTCCTGCACCTCCTCCGACTTGTCACCGTGCAGGATAGCCGCCTGCACAGCTGCGCCGTACGCCACCGCCTCGTCCGGGTTGATGGACTTGTTGAGCTCCTTACCATTGAAGAAGTCCTGCAGCAGCTTCTGGATCTTAGGGATGCGAGTCGAGCCGCCGACCAGCACGATGTCGTGGATGGAGCCCTTGTCCATCTTAGCGTCGCGCAGCGACTTCTCCACCGGCTCCAGTGTGCCGCGGAACAAGTCGGCGTTCATCTCCTCGAACCTGGCGCGGGTGATGGACGTATAGAAGTCGATGCCCTCCATCAGGCTGTCAATCTCGATGGACGCCTGCGAGGACGACGAGAGCGTGCGCTTGGCCCGCTCGCAGGCCGTGCGAAGCCGACGCAGCGCGCGCTTGTTGGTCGACAGGTCCTTCTTGTGCTTCCTCTTGAACTCCTGCACAAAGAAGTTGACCATGCGGTTGTCGAAGTCCTCGCCGCCCAGATGCGTGTCGCCGGCGGTGGACTTGACCTCGAAGATGCCATCCTCGATGGTCAGGATCGACACGTCGAACGTGCCGCCGCCCAGGTCGAAGATGAGGACGTTGCGCTCGCCGCCGACCTTCTTGTCCAGGCCGTAGGCGATGGCGGCCGCTGTCGGCTCGTTGATGATCCGGAGCACGTTCAGGCCGGCGATCGCGCCAGCGTCCTTCGTCGCCTGCCGCTGCGAGTCGTTGAAGTAGGCTGGCACGGTCACGACGGCGTCCGTCACTGTCTTGCCCAGGTAGGCCTCAGCCGTCTCCTTCATCTTGGTGAGCACCATCGAGCTGATCTCCTCGGGCGCGAACACCTTCTGCTCGCACTTGTACTCGACCTTGATCTTGGGCTTGCCACTCTCGCTGATGACGGTAAAGGGCCAATGCTTCATGTCCGACTGAACCCCGGCATCGTCGAACCGACGGCCGATCAGCCGCTTGGCATCTGCAAAGAAAAAATGGATTCAGAGAACCAGCCAGTGTACTGTCAGCTGCCAGCATGGGGATGATGAGGATTTGATGTCAATACAGGGGGAAGGTATCAATATCAAGGATATCAATCACACTAAGGATGCATTGATCTGGATACAACTTCTCATTTCATGGTGTGGTGTCCAAGGAAGTTAATGCCCTCATGCCTAGCGCCCTGCTTTACTGACACCAACACAACACTATGGAATATCTCACTCCCACTATTCACAAGAACACTGTTCCACAACATGCAGCAAGATCATCAAAAATATACTGTGACAATGATCATCTCAACTTACCAAACACTGTGTTGCTGGGGTTCATGGCAACCTGGTTCTTTGCAGCATCACCAATGAGCCTCTCAGTATCTGTGAATGCCACATATGATGGTGTGGTCCTGTTTCCTTGGTCATTGGCAATGATCTCCACCTTGCCATGCTGGAACACACCCACACAAGAGTAGGTGGTGCCCAAGTCGATGCCAATAGCTGGGGCCTTAGCCATTCTGAAACAAGAGAAGTATATGGTTAGCTCATCTACCCATTACAAAAGCTAGGTCATATTCAGGGCATATATAAGCAAGTGCAGCATTCAACCAGAGTGTGCTACTTAACCAGCATTTGCAAACCACCAATGGCAGCATTTAAAATGGCATGCAAATACCAAATACACTTACTACAACTATGAATTATACTAGCTACAAACCTACATATTTGTGTGCCTTCCATGCAAGGCAAACTTTACTTTATGTTCTGTACATCTTATGCCACAATATATCACAGGGCATCCTTAAATATGCTATATCATCTCACCCCACAGCACATATTATCAATCCTGCAGCTCAAGACTGATTCTGTAGCATAATCATCACAACTGCAGTTCAAGTTTACCAATTTACTTATTGCATGGAACCCTACCCTTCACTCAGCAAAAAAGTGAGCTGTTCCTAAGTGATTATCGCGTAGTCAATTCCCAGTCAGCATGATGTTCACTCACTGCTCCAGGCGCCCCTGTACTACTTCTGGACTTCAAGCGATGGGCTTGAAAAAGCCCTCACTGCAGAGCCTGTTACAATATTCCGGTAATAGGCAGCTAGAGGCGCATAATTTTGCTCAGGTGCGCCCGATCGCTGTCCAAAAGGGCGTAACATAGCCGCCCATCGCACGCTGTTCGTGTACTTCAGAGTTGCGGGGCCGATGCCTTCCCCAGCAAGGCACTAGTCCGGTGCAGTACAGAACATGCTCACGTACCTGTACACGTTCTCCAAAGGACGTCTTGTGAACACTCCACTGAATTCCCTCCGTGGACGACCCTCCTCGCTCGACTTCAGCGCAGTGTAGCAGCAGGCGGCCGGAGACTCCTTTAGATATGATGCCGTGAATGTTCTGGAAGAGACTTTTCGAAAGCCAATAGCGGTGCTCGAAACAGATGTGGAGAGCGAGTTACCAATCGCCCAAGTCTAACAAGCGATGCGATTGGTTGAGGAATGAAAGGCGGCGGTTGGCCGCTGACGTATCCGATAGCACTAGCGATCCACAAAGGTGGCGCTAGCTCCGGAAAGCGCTCGAACCTGCCCAGAAATTGAACTAGCCAAGAACTATCTAGAATGGGATGTCAGGTGGACGCACGCAAACCGAGTTCAACATTACTCGAAAAAGCTCCTCTGCTTAAATCCACTTCGAAGTAGATGTACACAGAATGTCGCTCTTGATAAAATTGAGATGCCCAGCCTGTCTCCAGCCCGTTGCGTAATGCTCTGAGCGCCGCAGGACAGACAGACAGACACAGACCTTTGCCGGTATCGCCTGAGGTCTGTGACAATCGGTGTCGCCAAGAAAGGTGCAGGTCACCGAAGTCATGGGGGACATATATTCAAAGGCACTGGTATCTTCAGAAAATGCCCTAACGGCTACAACGAGGTTCCTTTGTTCATCAACAAAATGTCACCGAATGGTGTAACACAGCTACAGGTGACATGAGTGTCACCTGCGCTGGTAACATCCGTTTGCCACCAGCTACCACGAGGAAGAAGATATGCCCCTCCCCCCAATTCCCCAAATGAGCATTGACCCCTTTTAATTTTGTCCGCCGAATCCACGGTTTTCACGTATTCCTGCCTGTAATGTCACCTTCAGGTCAGGTTACCCCTCCCATCTCTGAAACGTGGCTACATCAACGACAGGTGCTGTCAGCTGAACCGAAATACGTTGCTGATGGGGCGTACACATGGCCTTACACCAGACAAACCCATCAGTAACAATGTCATCGGTCAGACTGGGGGAGGGGGGGGGGGGGGGAACATAACCAGGCAGTGCAAAATCACCCAGGAAAGTAAAAGATCACATGTAAAAATGTGCCAGAGCATACTGGTATACTGGCGAAAAGCAACGTAATCTTAGTTCTCTGCGGTCACAGAGTCAGACGTTCTATGTCATAAATTCAGGTTATAGACGTTCATGAAGTAGTTAAAAAATGTTTTAGAATTTTTAGAACATAGATAAGACAGAAGTAATAACCTTATGCCTCGGAGAAAAACCAGAAGAATGGAGATATAGTTGGATTGTATTTTGGCAACATGCCTTTATCGAAACAATAGTAGAAGCTATGGCAATAATATTCTTAACTTAACATTTCCACTTTTAAGGACCAAAACTCTGCAATCATTCGAGATAATGACGTTGTACGCTCACTTGGTGTACGTGTTTGCACACTGTACTATTTACTCGAGCGGTGCATAAGCAATATGAGTTCCACCGACTCAAAAACACGATGAATGACAGTTATGCTGCGTGGCCAACACGCACAACTATCTTCCATTCGAAGAAAAAAAGAAATTGTCGGGCAGCGTGGCTTCTGCTGCTTGAGATGACGCTGGCAGAAATAAGGAAACGCGATGCGCGTCTTTGCTCACTCTTTTATTGCGCGCCAGCAACTACATGAGGCTTTTTAGCGCCCTGGGGTCATGACGCAGCCTAGCTTCGAATACGGTCCACGCGTGGGACTCAAAGGCGCCAGCTACTCGGCCATCCTGACTCCGGCAAGAAAAGATCGTTATCTCGTGTATCTGGAGCTTTTGCAGCCATATTTGTTTGGTCATGTCAGCACCCAACCATATTTGTCGAGGGGCACGCCCAGTCGTGTTATGAACACGCATTTTTACTGCTATCTCCCCCCCCCCCCCCCCCCCTGAAGGGTGTTATGGACAATATTTGGCGTATCCCAAAAAGTGACATAACTGGCTATCACCAACCCAACATATGCCTGTGTTACTTATTCAGATTCCCAACCGTTGGTTATTAAAGGCTAAAACATAAGCATCATTGTAATGAAAAACAACTTTGTAACTAATTCAGATTTCCATCCGTTGGCTATTCAAGGGTAAGACATAACCATCATTTTGATGAAAAACAACGTCGTTTATTAACGCCAGTACGGAACGATTTGTTTGCACGGCGAGCTTTACATGCGGCTATTTGTCTGCAAATGTGCCTACCGCCGGAAACGTGACTTAACTTAGTAATTTAACTTAATTTAACTCAACTTAACTTAACTAATTTAATTTAACTTAACTTAATTTAACTCAACTCACAATTCAGCCCTGCTCTGACGATTTTGTTCGATAACGAGCAAATTCAACTGCCAGTGTTGCTGCGTTGCACATATCTGCCTTATAGTGATGGATCTTACTACAGGTCTTGCCTAATATTAAGATTATATTGGTTCTTAATTACGTAAGTTGTTCAGTGCATTAGCGATTAGCACAAATTAGCGATAATGCACAAAGATAAGACAGAATTAGTAGCCTTATTCCTCAGAGAAAAAAAAAAAAACAGGAAAATGGAGACATTGTTTGGGGGCATATTTGGCAATATGCCCTTATCGCAACAATAGCAGAAGTGAATTCAAAACTGCCTTGTTTTTTAACATCAAGCCACAGTTTCTACAAGACACCAATATTCAGGGGATTGAACAAAGAGCGGTTGCCAGCCATTACCACGATACAGTGCCTATCTAAGAATTAGAATACGCGAACGTACGTGTACATGCAAACGAATTCAGGCAAATAAGCATCAGACATCATGCTTCATTCAAACATGCAGGTGAGTTGAAGTAAACAGGCATCACACATCGCGCATCAATTATACATCAATTATACATGGACTCATGATGACCGATTATGCAGACATGATACGTGCCTTTATGTGTGATGTGTGCTAGCTTAAAATCGTCTACATGTGTAAGAGGTGTCTGACGCGTGATGTGCGATGTATGTTCAATTGAAATCGCTTTAATGTATAATTGATGCGCGATGTGTGATGTCTGTTTACTTCAATTCGCTTGCATGTTTGAATGAAGCGTGATGCGAGATGCCTATTCGTTTGAATTTTTGTTTCATGTACACGTATGTTCGCGTATTCTAATTCTTAGATAGGCACTGTATCGTGGTATTGGCTGGCAATCGTTCTTTGTTTAATCCACTGAATGTTGGTGTCCTATAAAAACTGTGGCTTGCTGTTTCCCAAAAAGGCTGAAAAATCTAGTAGGATCATCGGCGGAAAATTTTGAGTTTGTTCTGCTTTTGTTCGACAAAGGCGTGTTGACGAAATATCAACCTAACTATATATCCATTCTCCTGGCTTTTCTCCGAGGAATAAGGCTATCAAGTCTTATCTATGTTTTTTAGTTTTCTTAACTGCCTAAAATCACACAAGAAACGCGGGCGAAAGAGGTGACGGATTCTTCCCGCTGCCTACGCTGACCTGAACTGCGGTCAGTGACGCAGCCAGACATGGTAAGAGACTTCGCGGTCAACAAAGGCGCGTTCTAGCGGAAAGGCACCAGAAAATCCGATACCGCCGAAACCCTCCAGAACTGGGCCGCCGCATGCAATCATTATCCGAGGTCTCCAAAGGGACACGTCACAGACGGGTCTCCGAAGCGGCAGGCCGTTTGACGAGGGTATCTGGCACGGGATCGACACAGGGTCTGTCAATGACGCAAAAGGATCCTATACCGGTACAGGAAGTTCTATAATTGGCACCGATACACCAATTTGGCTTATCGGTCCTTGGTCGAAGCGTGGCGGAGGGCCCTTTATTCGGTAACCGGACCTCTCTCTGACTGGCGCAGGCCACTGTGACATTCGGGGTCCCGCTCTTGTTCCTGTTCAACCAAGGCTCCCCGGGCTGACTTGGGGCCGGCTGCCGACGCGGGTTCCCAGTAAGGCACAGTGGTCTGTGGGGCCCTGATCAGCACAGGAGTTCTTCGCTTTTTAACGGGCCCGTCCAATGCAAGAGGTCCCTGATTGACATTGCAGGTTCGCCCTGCCCCTACTTGGGGAAGAGGCCCCAGAACCAGACCGGCGCGGAACCGACTGTTCAGCATTGGTGGTCTCGGCCACCTGAGTGACACAGATGACTTTTCTGTCCCATAGGCCCCGATCGGTTCAAGAACCCCTCTGGCTGCATTTTGGGGGCCCGGCCTTCTAACGGGTCCCTTCATATGCTTTCCGGCCTGCCCTTCGGACTTAAATCGATTATCAGTTAGATCAGATCAGATCAGATCAGATCTTTGATCGTCGGCCTCTATGGGCACAAAGCTGCAAGTACAAAAACTCCGTCACCGGTTTGGCCCGAACGAGAGAGGGCGAGTTCTTTCATTGAACGTGCCTGTTCACGTCACCAGCGCCCATCAAAACATCGCCTGTTCATGTCCCCAGCGCATATCAAAGAGGCCCAAAGTATTTACCATCCTACTCTGAGTGCTTATGGTGGGCGACGTACACATATAATATGTACAGCTTCGATGACGGGCAGCTCCCCAGTCATTACGCCTCGCCAGGATAGTGTTGGACGCTGCTAGGTTGTCCCGCTGCGAACAGTTGTCAGACAGAACAGCTGTCAGGGTCTCAGAACAGCTGTCAGAGTCTCAGAGCAGTTGTCAGGCTGTCTGTCATATGCTTCAATCGGCCGGCTCTCTGTAGGTGCCTCGTCAGATATCTACCTAAGTATGTCACTGCTTGGCGTCTACGGCATGCTTAACGGGCTGCGCAGTCCCCGTGGACGTTTGAATATCGGTATGCTATGCCTGTCTGCCCCAAGGGGCCAGTAATCCTATGAACGTTGTTGCACAGCCCCTAAGAATACGTCTTGGGGCTCAAAAAGTTGATGGTAAGTGCTAAATTTTTCATGACTGTGGCGGCTTACAGTTCTGAAAAATGATACTTCGCATGACTTTTCATCGCTCTCCGGGTCTGGCGTTAAAGCGTTTTCGTTCAAAAGTATTCGACTCATTTATGTTTCCTGCACATTCCGGGAATTTCGGCGCTCGTGTTACGATTACCTGTGCCATGTCTAACGACTC